TAATTTAGACCTCGAGGTAGGGATATATTTCTTAAATAAGACACACACACACACACACACACACACACACACACACACACCCCAAATAAATTTGACCGCTTTAAAATTAAGCACCTTTGGGAATTCCCTGATGGTCTGGTGGTTAGGACTCTGCACTTTAAGGGCGCAGGTTCTCCCCTGGTCCGGAAACTAAGATCCTGCAAGCCACATGGTGTGGCCAAATAATTAATTAAGCACTTTTGTTCATTAAAGACATTTAAAGAGAGAGAGAGGTTGTAAACTGGGAGAAGATATTTGCAATATACATAACTGCAAAGGGATTAGCATCAAGAATTCCTTAAGGGACTTCCCTGGTGGCGCAGTGGTTAAGAATCCGCCTGCCAATGCAGGGGACACGGGTTCGAGCCCTGGTCCGGGAAGATCCCACATGCCGCGGAGCAACTAAGCCCGTGCACTACAACTACTGGGCCTGCGCTCTAGAGCCCACGAGCCACAACTACTGAGCCCATGTGCCGCAACTACTAAAGCCCGCATGCCGCAACTACTGAAGCCCACGCACCTAGAGCCAGTGCTCCACAAGAGAAGCCACCGCAGTGAGAAGCGTGCGCACCACAACGAAGAGTAGCCCCCGCTCGCCGCAACCAGAGAAAGCCCGCGCACAGCAAAGAAGACCCAACACAGCCAATAAATAAATAAATAAATTTATTTATTTTTTTTAAAAAAAGAATTCCTTAAAATCAATGAAAAAAAGCACATTTAACCCAATAGAAAAATAGGCAAAATATATCAATAGGCATTTTTCAGAAGAGGAAACACATATGGCTATTAAATATGAAGAGACACTCAATCTTACTGATTAGGTAAATGCAAATTAAGACCACACTGAGCTACCACTTCGACAGATAAAAATGTAAAAAGTCTGACAAACACAAGTGTTGAAGAGGTTGTGGATCCACTCATAAGCCCTCCTACATAATGCTAGTGGGAGTACAAATCCATGTATCCACTTTGGAAAAAATGTTTGACATTTTTGACATTATCTTCTAAAATTGAATACTCATATACCCTGTGACTCAACAATTTTACTTTTAGGTATAGACTCGAATAAACAAAAGAAAGCTCTTATACATCTATAACAGGGGAGTACAATAGTCATAGTAGCACTGCTCACAACAGTAAAAACCTGGAAGCAACCCAGATGTCCATTAATGAGAAATCAGACAAAATGTGCTACATTCACACACTGGAATATCATACAATAGTGAAAATAAATGAACTAAATACATAAAATATGGCTGACTCTTCCCATGTTACAGTGGTTGAAAAAAGTCCAAAAGGATACAAAAGCATTGTTTTTTTCCCTTTGTAATGGACTTTATTTTTAGAGCAGTTTTAAGTTTACAGAAAAATTGTGAAGAAAGTACAAAGTTCCAATACATCCTCTCTCTACCAGCATACAGTTTCCCCTATTATTACTATGTTGCATTTATGGGTACGTTTGTTGCAAACGATGGACCAATGTTGACAGATTATTATTAACCAAAGTCCATAGTTTACATTAGGATTCACTCTTTGTGCTGTACATTCTATGGGATCCATCATTACAGTACCACACAGAATAGTTTCACCACTGTAAAAATGCCCTGTGCTCCACCTATCATCCCCATCTCCCGCAACCATTCATCTTTTTACCATCTCCATATTTTTTGCCTTTCCCAGCACGTCACACAGCTGGAATCATACAGTATGTAGTCTTTTCTAACTGGCTTTTCCTCCATGTCTTTCTGTGGCTTGACAGCTCATTTCTTTCTGTCACCGAATAACACTCCATTGTCTGGATGTACTACAGTTGTCCCATTCACTTATTTAAAGACATGTTGGTTGCTTCCAAGTTTTGACAATTACAAATAAACCTGCTGTAAACATTCACGTGCAGGTTTTTGTGCGGACATAAGGTTTCAATTCATTGAGATACTTAGGAGCTATGTTTAGCTTTGTAAGAAATTGCCAAAATGTCTTCCAAAGTGGTTGTGTCACTTTGCACACCCACCAGCATTGAATGAGAGTACCTGTTGCTTTACATCCTCACCAGCATTTGGTGGTGTCAGTGTTTGGCATTCTAGCCATTCTAATAGGCATATTCTTTTTTATAACATCTTTAAAAACAATTCAAAAATACATGTGTATACACACACACTTTTTGGAAATATATATATGTATATATATAATAAAATTTTGTAAAAAGGAAAACAAGAAATGGTAAATTCAGGATTCAGGATGATGGTTAACCCAGGTGAGGGGAGGCAAGAGGATGAGTTAGTGTGTGTGTGAGGCAAACCGAAGAGTTAGATGCAAATTGATGCCCTAATAACTTTTTTTGAGGGTGGAGGGCTCACAGTTATTATTACATTTTTAAAAGTACGCTGAATAATGACCCACCACAGTTGTCTATGTCCTAATCCTCAGAACCAGTGAATTTACTATGTTATGGTAAAAGGGATTTTGCTAATGTGTTTAAGGGTCTTAAAGTGGGGAGATTATCCTGGCCCAATGAAATCACAATGGGTCCTTGTAAGTCAAAGAGGGAGGAAGGATGATCAGTCAGAAAGAGAGGTAAGGAGAGAGGCAGTCAGAGGTCAGAGGAAAGAGGACAGACACTATGCTGCTGTTTTTGAAGACAGAGAGTCCAAAAGCAAAGGAATGCAGGCAGCTTCTAGAAGCTAGAAAAGGCAAGAAAACCATTCTCCCCTAGACTTCAGAGGAAACCAGCCTGGCCAACACCTTGATTTTAGTCCAGTGAAACTGATTTCGGGCTTCTGACCTCCAGAACACTAAGATAATGCATTCCTGTTGTTTTAAGCCACTAAGTTTGTTACAGCAACAATAGGAAATTAATACAGTGGGCCAGGCATGGATCAATGATGAATTGGATTATGATAAATACAGTTCTATACCCAGGTCCGGTTAAAAAAATAAAACCCTTGAATAGCTCCTCACTGACTGGAAGACAAAGCCCAAACTCCTCAGCCTGGTATCAATCCTTAACAACACGGTTCTATAAAGCCCCTGCCCACTTTCTCTAACTTAGCTCTCAATATCCCTACTCCATGTCTTCCCCCACACCTCCCTCCCCCAAACCCATACATATTAGCCATGGGTCCTGGCCTCTGTGCCCTTTTGCTGTTCCTATTGATTCATGGGGCTCAACTCTCTCCTCACGGTCTCTATGAAGCCTCCCAGAGAGAAATCCCCCCTCCTCCCCATATTGACTTTACAACGCTTTTCTTGCACGGTTCACTCCCCTTACAGGATTAGGATTCACTGGTAGTGTTTGTAAAACCAACTCTCAAGGCACTGTTTAACTGGGACCCTCAAGCTCCGGCAACAGGCTGAAAAATCTTTCTTCACCATTACCCTTCACTAGGCTACAAGAGCAGGTAGGAACTCAATCACGTTCTCCTAAAGATGCTTAGAGAGGGAGGTGGGGTGGGGATGGAAGCATACCGTGAACTGCTGCGGGCGACAAAGCAAATTCTAGTGTTACGTAGCCAGTTTGAACATGGTTTCCCACACGTTCGAACAAGACTTCGCTCCCCGTCCATATGATGGATGTCTGTAAACATAACCTTAAGTCTGTGCACGTCTCTGCCCAAAGACTTCCTCTCTAAGAACTAAATAAGGGGGTAGGAGGGCATTATCACCCCCTGTACACTGACTCGCAGAGTCATTTGAATTGAGGGCTGCCCTTATTTCCCCCTTATCCTATGAGTTAACGGATGGGGCAACCTTTGAAACTTGTAAAGCAATCTACAAGCCGCCTACCCAGGCTAGAATACCTATTTGCGGGAAAACGCGCCCACAGGACGCTGCCGGCCGTTGGGAAAGCGGGAGGAGCCCCGGCGGGCGCAGCCTGCAGCTCAGAGAGGGCCTGAGATCCACCCCAGGCCCTCCGCCCTTCGCGCGGGGCGGCGGTTGATGACCGCGGGCCGGCCGTTTTGATGAATACAGGAGGGCCGCAAGGGCCCGAAGGCTCAGACACCACGCGGAGCCAAAGCACTGCCTCAACCGCAGTTGAAGAAACCGCTCTCGGTCTGGACGGAGGCGGAGCAGCAGCTCGGGCTGAGCCAACAGAAGAGCCTTAAAATGCCTGGAGCAGCCCTAGGACAGCCCCCAGCGCGAGGCACTCTGGGAGTCGTAGTCTACCTCCCGGACAGCAGTCTTTCTCGCTTCGTTTCCCCGCCTTTTAACGTCGCTTTTATTCTTCCCCTCCCCTCCCAGCACGCCGGCTTCCTGGTCGCCACACGTCTCACGTACGACTACACTCCCCAGAAGTCTCTTCGCGTCCCAGCGCGCCGCGGGCGCCGGCCGCCTTCTTTGGACTGCAGTTCCCAGAAGCCCTCTGGGGAAGTGCTTCCCTCTCTCATTTCCAGGACCACAATTCCCAGAGACTTCAGCTTCCTGGCGGTTCTCTTTTTACTCTATCTCTTCTTGAGCTGGCCGGGCTTCGCCGACCAGCCGGCGCACAGCCACGACGTGATCCGTCGTGACCCGGCACAGGGTCTCCTCAGCGGCCCGTTTTCCTCCTCACTCAGTTATCCCTTTTGCAGGCTGTCGCGGCTGGCCTGAGCGGTGACCTGGCGGGCCGCGCCTGCGCCGTGCCCCGTTTCCTGCCTGGCTGGTGGCGGCGGCCATTTTGTTCATCCTCCTCCTCCTCCTGCTCCTCCTGGTTGGAGCGCAGTGTCCGGAGCGGGCTGGGGGGAGAGAGCCCGAGAGCGGGGTTCGGTGCGTTTTCCTCTGTCCCCAGCCGGTGCCCGTAGCCCCCCTCCCCTTCCTCCCCACCCCCTCCCCTCCCCGGCCCTGCCCTCAGTTTTAGGCATTACTTCTTTTAAAAACTGAATCAGGAACATTCTGTTAAACCAGCTGTGTAGTGAAGATGTTATCATTTTAAAGATTGGCTTAGTTCCCTAAAATTGATAAGACAATCCCCTCCCCGGCCCTGCCCTCCCCCTTGTCCCGGGATCGCTCCGTCGCACCCACCATGATGGAAGACGACGGGCAGCCCCGGACTCTGTGAGTACCCGAGACGAGGGGTGCCAGGCGCCGAGAGGCCCGGGCACCGCGGGACGCTGTGGGAGGGAGCAGGAGAGCGGGGCCGAAGGCGGGACTCTCGACGGCTCCCTGGCCGCGGTGGCGCGGACGCGAAGTGCATTCCTCATCTGTCCCTTTTTCCTTAGAAAGGAAGCTCTCCCTTCCCCCAAACACAGTCACTTCCTGGGGTCCGGGGCTTATTTCGACCTTTTCCTCTCGCGCCCTTCTTTGCAACCTCCTCCTAAGCCGGGTTTCTGCACGCCAGAGCCTGTCAGGCCCGGGAGAGCTCCTGCTCCCCCTCTGCTCCTGGGGCCCTGGGCCGGGCCGGGAGCTGCCGGTCCCCTACGGGGGCTGGGCCTGGTGGGGGTGGGACTGGGGGTGGGACCGCAGCCACATCCCCTGCGGGCCGCGAGGAATTAGCACTCACGCCCTCCAAGTCCCCAGTCGCTCCCTGCTCTTATCCCAAGTTGAGCTCTCCGAGGAAGCCGGACATTCTAACGCCACTCAAGCCCCTACTGTCTTTCTGCCCCACGTGCCCCCGCCCACGCTGTCAGAAACACTTAGCCCAGCGCCCGCTACTTTTAAAGTGCAAAAGGGATCCCTCTTGCCGCCGGAGCATCTTTCCCTTCTTGGATGAGGAAGTTTACTTTGAGCGCTACCTGCGCTAAACTGACAACCAGTTGTTAAAGTGGTGTTACCCCCTCCTAATCTGTGGATCGAGATCTTCAGAGTTGGATAAAATGATGTTTTTATCAGCTATTCGATGTGTCTTTTGAGCGCTTTTTCTTCTATCTTGCTGTTGCTCTTTAGTCTGAAGCCCAGTGTAATGAATGAATTTCGTCTTTGAATCGCTTATTCGAGTTTCCTTTCCTTCCTAATGAAGAGTGATGACTCAGCATTTACATTCCTTTCCAAATAGTGTGGCACTCCTCTTTTTTCCTGCATTTTTTAAGTGTAATTTCTAATTAAATGTTTAAGTTGGGCACCTTGGGTTTTCCTAGCCTCTCGAAGCTCAGCACACCTGCCTCGAGTGCAAGGAGTCAGTCAGGTCGCTGCTTTGTTTTCTCTTGCCTCTGCCTGGTATTGATACGATCATAGTTCACTTGGCTCTGCTATCTTATGGGGAAATTACTTTTTGGGGAACAGATGAAGGTGAATGGGTACTTAGGAAGTTAGACTAGTTTCTCATCTCTAGTCCTACCAAAGAAAGTTTGCTCAGTAAAGAAGGTAGATGTCTGTGTTCAACGTTAATACAAGTTTGTTTTTTGGCTGGGGGGGCTTACACTTTTTTATTCCTACTTCTCTAATGTCTCACTAAATTGTCTGCTATCCCTTTTGAGAATTTGAGGTCAACTTAAGTACATCAAATGCTTGAATGGGAAATCTGCTTAGGAAGTTTTGTATCAATATTTATGTTTTGTGCTGTCTTCCATTTCTGCTCTCTTTTCCCAGAAAAGAGAGGATTGGGACAAACTTGAAATTTGTCCTCTAACATCTGTTGAAGCCAAGACTTGGTATTTAGTTAGCAATGTGTTCTTTGATGGAAGCATCTGGGAAAGCTGGATTTAGGCCTAGCAAGCATGTATTTAACAACGATAAAAGTTACATTGTATTTAAAAATGTGAAATGTCATCGCATCATAATAGCTACTGAATAATTGGTAAATCCTCAAGGCATATTTCTCATTAACTGTATCTATCTGTTCCTCATGAAGAATTCCTGTTTTGTCATGCTAAACAAAATGCTATGGCAGTACCTTTAATTCATACAAGCACTTTGCATCTGCCTTCTCCTCATCTCCATTAGATCTTAGACCATAGACTAATAAGCTACCTTCTCCAGTCTCCTGTTCTTTCTCAGAAACACAGTTAAGTTGTCTATGTTTACAGTTACCTAAAAATGTGACATGTATACATATAAGTAAAGAAACATCTTGAGCTTCGTTGTACCTGTATGTCAGTATATGTTTACTATTCTGTCTTCCTTTTTCCTTCTCCCACTCTTCTCCATGGGAAGGATTTTTTTTTTTTTTTTAGACAAGGACTGCTACATCTTCCTAGGTCTTAACCCTGCAGCACTTAGTTCACTGCCTGGAACATAAGAGGTACTCAAATATTTTACAATGATTATACTTCCTTTCATTAAATTAATATTAAGTCCGTTTTTTAAAAAAGTCCTGATTGATTTAAAATTATATAAGCAGACATGATGGTCATATGTGGTGCGGTCTGTTGATTTTTATATATATTTTTTGAAATTTGAAATGTAAAATTTTGAGATAAAAGCAAATGTTTCACATTTGGATTTTTGTCAGATTTTAATAAAAATGCATATTTTTTAAAGTGTTCATTTTACATATTTCTCAAAGGATTCTTTTAGATATAAGTAACATGATAAAAACTTTGAAGGTGACTTTAGAGGTTGATACCTAGTAGGGTTTTTTGTTTATTTATGGAGATCCTTTTATTTTACATCCTGATCTTTGGATTAGGCTTTCAAGTGGCTAGTATGTTTTAAAAGAATGTACTCTTAACAAAGCTTATCTTAAACTGTTGCCTTAATATGCCTGTGTGTTACTAGTGAGGTTTTTTTCCTGCAGACACACACAAGCTAAGACATATGGTTCTATCATCAGAAAACAATATGGTGTTTATAGCCTAGGTAGGTCTTTAAATATTCATTACCTACAGTATTACTAATTTATTTGATGGTATTTAAAGTGATATAGAATTGCTTTGATGTTGAGCCTAAAATTTGTCATATAGTTTCTTTGAAGGTCTGTTTTCTGATGTTCTTTGTTCCCATTTGACATTTTTTGTATTGGGGGGTAAATGTATTGGGTATCTTGGGATCTAAAAAAACAAATGAGATCATGCTGTATAACACTGGTGTTGGAAGTGAACTGCCTCACACCTACCTTGTAGGACCCACATTTCAGATTTGTGTTTGTGTGTAGCTTTGAGTACAGTGATTTGATCCATGGTATATCTGAATCTGTTATACAACATTAAATTGTAATGGTGTTCTATTGTAGTTTTATTTTCTTCATCTACTCGATGCACCAAAATGAGTAGGAATTGTGGATCTGGAATTATACCATGTTAATGCAATGCCATCTTTAAGGCCCTTTTCTTCCAGATAGAGACTCAGTCAAAAGGAGGAAATAAGCCATTCATTTAGAGTATAATCTGAACATCTAAGGGCAATAGCAGTAAATGCTGTTAAATCCCATTATATAATTGATTAGCTGTACCATACATTTGGCTACATTGTGGCTGTAATTAAGCCTCTCATACAATTTAATCGTATTTTCTGTTTCTTTAAAATGTATGTGTATGTGTGTTGATATTCCTTATATAGTTGGTCAGTTCACTTGTACCTCCTGCACCTTTCCTCCACCCTGCCTCCTTCCTAAAATGAAATATCGACAAATTGATCAGCACATTAGAGGCCCATTGAAGGATATTGTTGCAAAATCTCCTCTTATATAGGAATTTTCAAGAACAAAAGTAAAAATATTACTTAGCCATAGTATCTTGTGTAAAAGTGCTGGTAATTTCAGCCTTCGTAGGGCTAATCTTTTCAGAGTGAGAGCACATTCAGTATTGAAAAGTATGATTAGTCTTCTGAAAGGCATGATGTTCTTAACTTAAAATTCTGCCTGTTTGTACATATGAAGTAGTTTGGCAATGTGAACTTTTGCCTGCTGTGAAACTGCCAAGTTCTAGTCTCAAATTTGATTTTAACCCTGACTTTAGGGATAAAGACATCATTTTCCGTTTTTAATGCATTAGTTCCTACAGTTCGTGTTCTTAGAAGACAAAATAGACCTAAGGTTTGCTTTTTTTTCCCCCCTTGAGTTAAAAATCGTTTTGGAATTTCCTAAGTGTTTACTCTTTGAATTGATCTCAATACAAGAATTTGAGCCATTTGTCTTTTTCTGTTATTTTGTATGTGTTCTTCAAGTAGAAATTTTATATTTAAACCTTGGAACTTTAGAATATATTGACGATTTTATAACCAAAGCAGAAAGAAAGTGAAGTGTAGATGATTTAGAAAGAAAAAGTAAATATTTCTATATGCTAACCAAGAGATGATGTTTTTACCAGGTCAAGAGTTGAATATTTTTGTTAGTATTTATTTTGGGACAGATAATTTTATGATAACGTAAAGATACTTAAGCTGTATAGTATTTTAAAAGCTGTAAAATGTTTCTGTATTAAGTGTTATGATGGATGAAGGCAAATGTAGGTGAATGAATTACAGAACTCTGTAAAGGAAAAGGCAGTCTCAGGTTTCTGTATAATTTAGGTGAAATTATATGGTGAATTATATCCTTTTTATCCTGGCAAATTAAGATGTTCTACATGTTGTTATGGAAGGCCATTTTTATTTTTATTTTTTATTATATTATTTACTTATTTATTTATTTTGCGGTACACGGGCCTCTCACTGTTGTGGCCTCTCCCATTGCGGAGCACAGGCTCCGGATGCGCAGGCTCAGCGGCCATGGCTCCCGGGCCCAGCCACTTCGCGGCACGTGGGATCTTCCCGGACTGGGGCATGAACCCGTGTCCCCTGCATCGGCAGGCGGACTCTCAACCACTGTGCCACCAGGGAAGCCCCTGGAAGGCCATTTTTATATTAGTTTTTGGAGTTTGCTACTTTACCAACTGAACTTTTAGTGGAGATATTTGAAAAATAGGAAACCTTAAAACTAAACTTTTTCTCTAAGTATTTCATGACATTCTAAACTTCCGTTAACCTTTTGCTCTTTGTTATCAGTGCTTGAAATATAAATTAATATATCTAAATGTGCCTCTAGAAAATTCTTCAGAATCTGTAGTTGATTAGAAATAGGTTGACTTGGAGTAAAAATCCTGTGAAACAGTAACAGCTTTGTGACTGTTAGGTATGTAAGGTAGTTAATGCCCGTGCAGTTTTTTCCTGGAAAAATCATTAAACAGTCATACAAATTAAAATTATTTAAATCATTTACAGTTTGTTACATTCAAGTGATAATTTTAACTTTCTTGCTAGTTAGCTTTGATATGTGAAAATCAGTTTTATCCACTCCTATTCTCTTAGAAATGAGCTAACTATTAGCATTTTAGGTTAGTTGAGTGTTAACACTTCAGAGACCAAGGTCACTGTTCATTTTCTTTACAGATAGGTCTACTTTGTACAAAAACAAATTCCATGGATACAGGTTCACAAACCCCTATGAGTTTAAAAAAAAAAATAGGCAATTGTCTGGCTAGCTCAGAAGCCTATAACCTTTCACTACTGCTGGGAAAAGTATGTCACTGCACAGCCTACTGATGGGTCTGCTCTACTTTAAATATAACAAAAAGGTGGCATAGTGGACCTAAACCAGTTTGTCACTGGTTTAGTCTTCCATTTAGGTAACATTGGACTTGTGTTTCATTTTTAGAGCATGTTAAAGTTATTAGCACCCATTGCAGTGAAATTCTTAGGTGAAAAGAAAATTGCTATTCATTCTTAATCAAATTTTTTTTTCTTTTTAACACTTAACCTTACCTTTCTCAGTCTTATTTTTCCCTTTCAGAGTATCCTGTCTTAAACTATGGCACCTGTAGATACAAGGCTTATATTGGTCTCAGTACATTGTTTCCAGATATTATGTATTATAGTTAGGAAAATAAAACTTACGTTCTTTTACTTTCCAGAAGAAAATGTGTTAAATTTTATAAATGTTGTTTGGTTTATGAGGATCATAACTGATGTGAGTTTTAGGAACTATATGCTGAGTGCAAGAAAGACTTAAAGTTTATTAAGCTAAATTAAGATAGATCCATGGTAAAGAAGATGTGGTACATATATATAATGGAATATTAGCCGTAAAAAGAAATGAAATTGGGTCATTTGTAGAGATGTGGGTGGACCTAGAGTCTGTCACACAGAGTGAAGAAACTCAGAAAGAGAAAAACAAATATTGTATATTAACACATATGTGTGGAATCTAGAAAAGCGGTACAGATGAAGCTATTTGCAGTGCAGGAATAGAAAGGTAGACATAGAGAACGGATGTTTGGACAGGGTGGGGGGGAGCGGAGGGTGGGATGAATTGGGAGATTCGGTTTGACATAAATACACTACCGTGTGTAAAATGGATAGCTAGTGGGAACCTGCTGTATAGCACAGGGAGCTTAACTCCGAGCTCTGTGAAGACCTAGATGGGTGGGATGGGGGAGAGGGAGGGGATATATGTATACATAGAGCTGATTCACTTCACTGTCCAGCAGAAACTAACACAACATTTTAAAGCAATTATACTCCAGTAAAAAAAAAAGATCCATGATACAAGGTGGTCATCTCTGGGTGGTGGTGTTCTTTTCTTTTAAACTTACGTGTATTTTAAGTTTCTTATACAAAATATGTACATTCAATTTGTAATTTTTAAAAAAATATTTAGATATGTTATAGTCAAAAGTATACCTGGGGGCTTCCCTGGTGGCGCAGTGGTTGAGAGTCCTCCTGCTGATGCAGGGGACGCGGGTTCGTGCCCCGGTCTGGGGGGATCCCGCATGCCGCGGAGCCTGCGCGTCTGGAGCCTGTGCTCCGCAACGGGAGAGGCCACAACAGTGAGAGGCCCGCGTACTGCAGAAGAGAAGAGTATACCTGGATTTGTCTTAAATTTTCTCTGAATTTCTAGAGAAATCTTTATATTTGCTTTGTTATCTACATAAAGATGTATCTTGTTGATTCTGATTTTTTTGAGTATGAATTTTATTTTACCCTGCTCTCCTAAAACAAAACTATGAAGACCTACCATCGATAACAATCTTATTAGCAAGGTAGAAAGAACAAAATCCTTCAGTCTTTGTGTTTTGCTATAACTTTAATTCTCTTCTTTGTTCATGTAATTGCTTTGGTTGGGGGTCTAAGGTAAAACTCACCTTGTGTCTGATATCCTTCTATGATCAGGTGTTTTAATGAATCAATATTTGTGGTATTATGTGTGTGTGTTATACATTATTTTGAGTTGTGTTTCATATCTAAAAATTATAGTTATCTTGAGACTGATTTAAATTTTTATTATTTTTATTCTAACAAGTAAGATGAGAAAATGATATATAGGTACAGAATAATATGCTTTGGGTGGTAAGCAAGGTCATATTGATTTGGGTTTTTTTTTTTGCGGTATGTTGTGGCCTCTCCCGCTGCGGAGCACAGGCTCCAGACGCGCAGGCTCAGCGGCCATGGCTCACGGGCCCAGCCGCTCCGCGGCATGTGGGATCTTCCCAGACCGGGGCACGAACCCGTGTCCCCTGCATCGGCAGATGGACTCTCAACCACTGCGCCACCAGGGAAGCCCCTGATTTGTTTTTAGTAGAGTCTTTTGAAGTGATATTTTAGTGACCTAAGAATAATTATTGCTTTCCTAAATGAGAGTTAATCTTACACTCAAAGGTTATCAGGCTTAATTGGAAAAATTTTACTGAAGACAGAGGAAGTTAAAATGAAATAAAAGGTGATGAGTAGATGATAATGCTTTAGAGCCAGAGCTGAAGGGAAATAGCTGATTTTTTTTTTCTTTCTGTACAGATACGTAGGTAACCTCTCCAGAGATGTGACAGAAGTTCTTATTCTTCAGTTATTCAGTCAGATTGGACCCTGTAAAAGCTGTAAAATGATAACAGAGGTAAGATCTTCCCAGTTCCCTGTTCTGACAATTAGCATAATGTTTAACATTTTGAGATACATGAGTTGATTAGTATCATTTTAATTTTCAAGTTACTAGATGGGGAGATTCATGTTGTGTTGACTTATTTGATTTGACTGACAAACTAGGTTTAGAATGGAGTTTATCTGAGAGGACAGAGTTTCTGTGCTGTTATTTTCAAAGGGTCCTTCATGATGTAGTTATCTTCAAGTGATTCTGCTTGTGTAAAGTTTTGAGAGCTTATCTCAGAATGTTGAAAAACTAGGTTATATTTCATATATTTCCAATAAGAGTTGGTGTGTGTAGAAGAACATTAGGTTATTCCGAGCACAGTGTGGTGCCACCCAAGCATCTTTAGCAGTTGTAGTAAATGCTGACTGAACAACTTTATGTAGATAGGAATTTAAATTGTTAGGATAATTTGTTTTCCTTTTTTTCAAAAGAATCTTATTTTTTATACTTTCCTGGTTAAGACTCTGGAGCAGTACCCAATGACTCGGTTTTCAGTTTATTTATTAACACTTTTTTTTTCAACTATTTAGTATGTACCAGATACCACGGTAAGTGCTAGGGATACAGTGGTGAATAAAACGGTTCCTAGCGCGATAGAATTTTCCAGTCTATGAGGGAGACAGAGGAAATAATAGGCACTAATGATATAGGATAATAAATACTGTGGAAGTTGATAATTTCAAGTGCTATAGGAGCTTATAGGTCTGTACAGTCTTCAGTCAGGGGAGGATTCAGTGTCTAGGCTGAAACCTAAAAGGATAGTAATGGAAACTGGCTAGACAGGAATTTGAGAAAGAAGGGAATCCAGGTAGAGAGAAGAATGTTGATCAAGCCTGGTAGACAGAGAGCGGGAGTGCTTGTGAGATAGAGGGAAAGATAGAAACCATAACGTGGTTGGAGTTTCGAAAGGGATTAGTCTTAGGAGATGCCAGGAGATGAGGCAGGAGTG